AAAATTGCAAATGCCAAATACGAGGAATAACATTTGGAAAAAATGGAAAATCACGATTTTAGACACAGATGTCTCAAGAGATGACTATCAATTTCCAGGTGAGATGTCTTTCCAGAAGATCCACTAACATTGTTCTTTGTACATTGTAGAGGCAAACTTTTCCATCAAAACTTGACATATCTTCTACTTACAAGTCATGTGTCTTGTAAATCTGTTGTGTCTGGGGAGGCCCTAAAATCTGCAACTGATAATTTGTAGTGCTTTCTGGGAGTCACATTTGTTAAGTGAGTTTATTTAATTGCATGGACTGGGCCTTATCACAAGACAAGAGGTCAAAGGAAGATGGTAAGAGAAGAAAAAGAAGGTATTGAGGCCAGAAGAATCCCTACCCAAAGGCTAATGTCAGTCCTGGTGCTAATGCTAGTGACCTTAAAAAAAAAAAAAAAAAAAAGCTACATTTCCATTTTGCAAGGCTTTTTTTGTTTGTTTGTTTGTTGTTGAGACTGAGTCTTGCCCTGTCACCCAGGCTGAAGTGCAATGGCGCGATCTCGGCTCACTGCAACCTCTGCCTCCTGCGTTCAAACGATTCTCCTGCCTCAGCCTCCCGAGTAGCTGGGATTAGAAGCGCCTGCCAACACGCCCAGCTAATTTTTATATTTTTACTAAAGACGGAGTTTCACCATGTTGGCCAGGCTGGTCTCGAACTCCTGACCTCGTGATCTGCCCACCTCAGCCTCCCAAACTGCTGGGATTACAGGCGTGAGCCACCGTGCCCGGCCCCATTTTGCAAGGCTTTTAAAAAAATATTGTGTGCTCAGATGGCACCTTTAATCATGAAGAACTTCTGGCTGAGTTCCAGACTGATTCTGCTGGCACAGAGAACTCTGAGATCATACCCTATATTCAGAGCACAGAAGAAATATTTCATCCATCTCTGAAATAAAGAGGAAGAAATGAAGCATATTTGAACAGTTGCAGAACAAAACCACACCAGGGTGAAAAGCGAAGGGCATCCTAGCCATTTGGAGTTACAGAAAAGTACCATTAATTCTAAATACTTAAGTGGCATATTTTTTCATTCTAAGTGTTTCACTATAAACTAAGCAGTTTGCATAAATCTATTTCATAGACACATAAATGAAGGCAGATTTCATGTTTTACCTAAGACTACTTTAAGTTAAAAAAAGAAAGGCAGAGGGCAAAGGAAAACAAGCAGCTCCCAAAGTAGCAGGTTGTGACCCAGGAGTTTGAGTGCTTACAGCTGAATTTAATCCACACCCAGGCCAAATATAATTCTCCAACTTGGAAGTGGTCCAGGACACCCGAGCTAACATTTTTTACCTTTGCCAAAGAGCCTGGGGCAGTTTGGTGACAAGCAATCACAACCTCACTTCTATTTCTCAACTGAAAGAAAGACCAGAATCATCTGACAGGTGCTTTCCCCATGGCAGGGCACTGGTTTAAGCTCAAGAACTAAGAAAGTTTGCTTCCTCTTGATTCATCATTGCCTCTTGCATCACTTATTCTCTTGAGATCTATTCACAGGTCTATTTAAATTGGAGAGTTGGGTCATACAATTTTGGGTGGGAAGACTGAATCACAGCTTTACTCCATGTGTCAGCCTTGACCACTTGATTATATATTGTGCTTCGACTTCACTCCATCACTGAAAGCCTTAGCTATGGGAAAAGCCTGGGTGATTGCTCTGTGTATTAGAAACTGAAACCCCACCACTAAATGCTAAAAAGTGGTCCAAGCAAAAGGTGCTGTGGAAATCTGAAAGCCATTATCTTTTCTACACTTCCTCTCTCTTCACCCTCATTTTGTTTGGGAATGCATATGAACACTTGTGAACAAAAATAAACTAACCCACCCTTGACAGATTGTTCTGTCTTTTGTGTTATCAAACTTGAGTACTTCTGGCTCCCACATATACTGAAGTAGAGATTGCTGGGAAGGCAGCCATAAATTAGAGTTGATCTTCCAGCATCTTCTACCTGTAAGGAATGGTTCAGGAAATTATAATTAATGAGTTCTGCCCCAAAGTTGAAATCATATTTGGATTTCAGAAATAATAAGAAAGCATATAAGAATCCTGGTGTGTTTTCTTAGCTCAACCATGTCCATCCATACTTTCTGGCCCTTTTTAACAAGTTATTCTATACCCAGTCCGTATACATTTTGACTGTCTGCTCTCAGGAACTGTCTCAACTCAGGGCACCTTTAAGGAAGGCAGAACCACCTTAGGAGGTAGAGGGTGAAACGTGGCAACTCTTCCACAGGCGAATCAACATAGCAGACATGCTCAGGGTAGGAGGTTTTGCTAGGGCTTAAATCAGGTTGTCAACTCCAACACAATGGGCTTTGTTACTTCTGTAAAAAGAGGAAATGGAGCAGTTTTTGGCCTCCTCAGACTGTATTGTAGGGTATACAGGATGGCAATTCCAGGCACAATCTTCAGGAGACACAAATCTGCTTTTAGCTATTCAGTGTTCCCCAGCAAGTTAATTAGCTGTTTCTGAAATGCATGGAAATATTCAGTATTTTCATAGTGAAGCCAATCTCCCAGATTTAAGCTTTGGGGGTGGGAATGAGTACGTGAGGAAGGGGGTCTGTCAGGGAAACAGAATAGGGCCCTTTTGGTGAGAGATCCCAACACCTGTGATTTATCTTAGAAATTACACATGCACTGTAATTCCAATACTTTTTTTTTTTTTTATTTTTTGTTTTTGGTTTGAGCACTCCAGCTGGAGGGCTTGCTGACACCTCTCACTATCTTAGGCATGGGGAGTTACCTCTGGGTTCAAAAGTCCTTGGGTGGCAAGCACAGAGGAACTGCGAAATGCCTCCCTCAGAAATGCCCAGCTGCTTAAGGGGAGAAGCAGGGAGTGGGCTCAGGTAGCAGCCAGGAAGGTTGCAGGAGCCAGGGGCACATCCTCTCACTGAGTGGTAAGGTTCCTGCAAGTGGGGTTTGGGGACCATTGCTTTGACAACTTGTCAAGGGTGCGGGGAGGGCTGTCCCAGCAAGGTGAAGGAGTCTGTAGGGAAGGTGTCTGCCCGGAGACCTCCTAAAGACCAGAAGAGCGCGCACCCCGCCAACTGACAGTACGCGCCCCTTCTGTATCCGCTCCCCTCCCCCGCGGCCAGTCTCCGGGCAGAGGCGTCTCACGCCAGCAGGTCCTCCCTGGCTCCTCTCCTCACTAGTCCGAGCGGACCGAGCCTCAGCGGGAGCCCCGCCTGTCTCCAGGCAGCTTGAGGCCCCGAGCGCTCGCCCAGCCTGTCAGTAACCGCCGTTTGCGTTTTCTTCCTTTCTTTCTTTCTTTTTTTTCTCTTCTTTTCTTTTCCCCTTCTGCCTTTGTCCCGCTTAGTAACTGGGCTCTGACCAATCGCCGCCTTACCGGCCGGCGCCGGCTCTCTCCTGATTGGCCCGCTTGGGGCGCGCAGCCGTCTCCCGCTCCTTCGCAGGAGCAAGGCAGACAAAAGACGCAGGCTCCAGGCTCCGGCAACCGGCCTCAGCCAATCACCACCCACCTTGCCTCTCTTCCCTCGCCCCGCTCCCTCCCCGCCTGGCTCGCGTGCTCCCGGCACTGACTCCTGGAGTGCGGCCAGCGCCCGGGCCGTACCATTCTGATTGAGGCTGGGGGAGAGCGCGGATGGCTGATTGGGGAGCCGAAGCCTAGAGAGCGGTGGGGAGACGTGAAAGTCGAGATGGAGGGCAGCTTTTTGAAGGTGTTCTCAGGCACCTGACAGAATCGCGGTGCTTCGAGGCGGGACAGCGTGGAAGGGGCGGTAGTGATGCCTGCTTTTACCCCTCCAGGCGCGGTTGGGTGGTGCCTCAGCGGGTGGGCAGCGTGGGGCGGGGAGGGTGTCCCCTCCGCGCCGTTAAAATAAAACTCTAGTGGCTGGAGTCCGGGGAAAGCGTGAGGGCAGTCGGTGCAGGCGGGTTGCTTCTTATACCCCGGCGGGAGCGCCCAGACAAGCCGAACTGACTGGACTTTTCTGGCCGGCCCCATTCCCGAGGCTGGGGCAGCTTCGGTTCCGAGCCCGACCGGAGAGGAGCCGGAGTCCCGGCCCCTGGGGGGTTCGCTCTCTGCAGACCAGTGGGACCCCGAAACTTGAACGCAATCTCCAGCCCCGTTTTTTGCCTTCCTTTGTCACTTTCCCGGCTTTCTCCCAACGTGTTCTTTTTTTCCTCTTCATTCTCCCCCCGAAGGACACAAAAGTGGCTTCCGCGGAAAGATTTGGAGGCGGTGGGAGCTTTTCTCTCCGGAGAGCGACTGTGTAGAAAGGATTTTTGGGAAGCCGATTTTTAACACCTCTGCCCTCTGTCCCCAAAGCCTCTGTGTAACCCTCTGAGGAGAAAAGCCCATAGCTTGAAAGTTCGGGGGCATTTTGTTGGGTTCTGTAGGAGAGAGGGGGAGGACCCTGTTCTGGTAGTTTGGCTGGACTAGTGCTGGCCGTTGAAAACCCCGAAGTACATTTGCCTGTGGAACTTTTGCAGATACATATTTTTAGATTTTTAAATACCAGATAAAAAATATATGCCTTCTATATATCTTCTGACGACCTGCCCCTGACAGCGCGATGTACAATACGGTGTGGAGTATGGACCGCGATGACGCAGACTGGAGGGAGGTGATGATGCCCTATTCGACAGAACTGATATTTTATATTGAAATGGATCCTCCAGGTACTTGGGAGAAAAAAAAAAATCTCGTGATGGGTCTGATTTGTATTTACCAAGAGCTTGGTGATGTTTTCAGGGCAGAAGTATTGCTGGATGCGCTAGGTTCGGGATGAGGGGAAGATTTGCAGTTACAGCTGCGGTAAAACTGCTTCTGGTTTACACGTTTAAAGTTTGCAGTTAGGACCCTGAACCTATTGTCCTGCGAAGGTGGGGGTGGGGGCTGGAAGTGGGGGTGGGACGAGAGACTCCTTTTTAAAATGATCATGTTTTTACTTTGCCTTTGCGTGTCGTTCAGGTTTTTCTTGTGCCCGCCACTTTATTTTATTTTTTTCTTTTTCAATTAAAGACTCTTCTACCTGCAAAGGATGTTTTATATCCCGGGGTTAAAACCAGTCTTTCACTTTGGGCGAATTTTTGAAAGCTTGTCCTTTCATACATTTGTCTAATTTGGTTCGTTGTGTTTTACCCCGGTTAACTTCTGAAACTGAGTTATGTGATTATTCACTGTAAGACTCCCTTTTTCTCTTGCAGAAACAAATGCCGGTTAGTGATTTTTTTTAGGGATTGGGCGTTCATATTCAGCCATGGTCTTAGTCTGAGGTTTTCCTTCTCAGAAGATAGTCGCTTAGAGAGATCTACGTGCAGTATTTTATTACTCTTTAATTTAATGATGATTTAACTTAATTTATGGGATAGAGTTTAATGTAACTTGAATTCCTAGAGTAAAAACAAAACAAAACAAAAAAACCATAAACGAGGGAACCTTTCTCTTTCCTGTGAATATGTGACATGTACATATGTGTTCCTATACACGTAATGTAAAGTATACATATATAGTACTAGATTTTTATTTTAAAGCTCTGTCTGACGCTATTACAGACATTTTGTGTATTTGGTAGGAAAGGAAAAGGAAGGCAAAATGGAAAAGTTGGTTTTTTCTTTTAAAGTCTACCCCATTTTATGATAATTAGCTGTCAGATTTTATCAAACACTGTTTGCAATTACAGATGGTGCTTATGTAATGATTCTGAATAAGTAGAGAGCCTTTGTGACTCCTTGTTTCTGTCGAGGATGAATTCTTTATGTATTTTAAAACGTGTAATGGCTAAGCCTACAGAATAAATGTGTGTCATTGGGGAACCTCGCTTATTATAAGACTATATTTTTGGAAACGTTTGAAAGAATTTGAGCCATGCAAGTGTGAAGAAGTGTAACTGTCTTATAGAAGGTATGTAGAAATTTTTTCCTGTGTCCTTGCAAACAGTGAATTATCCTGTTTTTTTTTTTTTTTTTTTCAGTTAGTCATAGTGTTAAATGGTGCTGTACTAAAAACTAATATTGAAATAAACCTTTTTCACTCTTGATGATCACTTAAGATTTTTTTCTCTTCCTTCATTTCAGAGCCTTCTTTATTTGCTTTTGTAATTGTGACTGCAATCCAGATGCAGCTTTTCAGTGTTTTGTAAAGTTTGTAAGATTTGCCACCCATCTATTGTGTCTTTTCCCCTTTGTTTCCCCCAATGGTAAAGCATATTAGATACATTTGTCATACATATGAATAGAAATTTAGTACATCACTGGTACTTTTATTGTAAAAAGTAAGGTTAATAATTCTAGATTCCTGTTGTAAGAATTATATATTCAAACTGCCTTAGAATTATACTGCATTACATAGTATCTTGCCTTGCAGACATACAAAGGGAATTTGTTGGGTGGGAGGTGAGTACGGAGGAGGGGATAAAATGAAGAATGCATTTATGGTTGAAATATATTAGCCTAGTAGAAAACTACTGGCCAAGTTGAGTTGAGTTGTCCAAAAATAATTTTAAGAAAAGTTGACTATTATAACTATATGGAGACGTGGGTCTTACAAGGTTGTATAGAAAATTATGATCCAAACTTTATTTTCCATGGAAATAAACTTTGGAGTTTAAAATGTTCATCCTTGAATGAAATTGTGCATACTGAGATTCTATTGAGAATACTGAAAGGATACATATGCTGTTCTTTATTACCCCTTTTGTAGCTTTAATGTAGAATATGGTTAGTTATTCCTAACAGCTTTTTAAAAAGGAAGCACCCTTGAGTATGATGAAACATTGCCTATGAAGTGAATGTTTTTTCATGGAAATAGTGTGAATGTCAACCTTGTTTTATGTGATAAATTAAGTTTTCAAAATATATAAAACTGTATCATTAGTGAAGCGGTTGTAGCACGTTTTGTAGGTTTTTCCTAGCTCCCACCCCACGTCAAGCTCTTAATTATTTCCTTCCTGGACTGCTGTGATAGTGTACTAACTGCTCTCCCATTTCTATCCTGTTCAAGCCACAGTAATGTTAAGAGAATCATCTGATGACTTACCTTACAATGATAAATCTTCCAATGGGTTTAAAAACCTCCCACTGGCTTCCCTTTGCCTACAAAAAAACAAAACAAAACAAAACAAAAAACCAATAAATAAAAAAAATCCCCCGATTGCTTACCCTGTCATATAAATCCCTCTAATTTTTGCTTCCAACTTAATTTTCTAGTTAATTCTCCTTCTGGAGTGCATCATAAATTCTATAGAAGCAATTTTGTGTTTGCTGTTCCTTGAATGTATGCTTTTTTCCCTCTTCCTGGGATGCCTTTCACTCGCAATAGTCACATGTTGAAATCTTATATGTATGTGTTTTTAGGACCCAGGTCAGACGCCTTCAGTGTCAGAATATGTTCTCTAAACCCTTCTTTTTTTTTTTTTTTTTTGAGGCAGAGTCTCACTGTGTTGCCCAGGCTGGAGTGCAGTGGCACGATCTTGGCTTACTACAACTTCTGCCTCCTGAGTTGAAGTGATTCTCCTGCCTCAGCCTCCCAAGTAGCTGGGATTATAGGCATGTACCACCACACCAGCTAATTTTTGTATTTTTAGTAGAGACAGGGTTTCACCAGGCTGGTCTCAAGCTCCTGACCTCAGATGATCTGCCTGCCTCAGCCTCCCAAGGTGCTGGGATTACAGGTGTGAGACACCGCGCCCGGCCTACTCTTCTAGCACTTCTCAGATGAAATTTTTTCCATTCTGTCTAGAGAAGCTACTGTACTATTTATGTGTACTTCTCCCTATGAAATTGGCTTCCCACCTCGTCATGAGCTTCTTAGCTTGCTCGGGGTCTTGCGAGTAGTAGACAATTTAGTCAGTATATGTTGAATTAATAAATAAGGAGCATTGTTTCCTTCTAGTCTTTAGGTACGTTTCTACTTAAGGTCCTTGCCCAATTCATTGCTTGGCTATTGTAGTAGCCTAGGGCTAAATAGCTTTTGAATTAGACATTTGTTGACTTAGGGCCCTTAACTGTAATGATGCCAATATTTTTATATGTTTTTTTCATCTTTATTTTCAAGACAGAGTCTCGCTGTGTTGCTCAGTTTGGAGTGCAGTGGCGCCATCTCAGCTCACTGCAACCTCCGCATCCTGGGTTCAAAGGATTCTTGTCCCTTAGCCTCCCAAGTAGCTGGGACTACACAGGCGCATGCTACTATGCCTGGCTAATTTTTGTATTTTTAGTAGAAATGGGGTTTTTCCATGTTGGCCAGTCTGGTCCTGAACTCCTTGCCTCAAGTGATCTGCCCACCTCGGACTCCCAACGTGCTGGGATTACAGACGTGAGCCACCACGCCTAGCCTTTCATCTTAATTTTAGACTGAGCCATAAATGCAAAATTTTATCTATTATTGCTTCTAGTGGCCTCAAAAACTATTTTTCAAAGATGTTTCCCTCTAGCCTGTCTTTTCAATAACTAACATTATCATGCATCCTGAAGGTTCCTAATAACTGCATGGATTGGTGTATCTACAGTCACAGTAATGTAAAAGTTGAATCCAAATGGGAGTTTAGTATCTTAATGTTTGTGTATTTCCTGGCAGCAGTAGATATACTGAACTGTTCAGATGAAACATAAAACTTTTTATTGTTGGCTAGGTGTGGTGGCTCATGCCTGTGATCCCAGTGTGCTTTGGAAGCCCAAAGCAGGAGGATCGTTTGAGGCCGGGAGGTTTAGATCAGAATAGCTTTGTAAAGATACCATTTCTGGCCGGGCGCGGTGGCTCAAGCCTGTAATCCCAGCACTTTGGGAGGCCGAGACGGGTGGATCACGAGGTCAGGAGATCGAGACCAGCCTGGCTAACACGGTAAAACCCCGTCTCTACCAAAAAAATACAAAAAACCAGCCGGGCGAGGTGGCTGGCGCCTGTAGTCCCAGCTACTCAGGAGCCTGAGGCAGGAGAATGGCGTAAACCCGGGAGGTGGAACTTGCAGTGAGCTGAGATCCGGCCACTCTACTCCAGCCTGGGTGATAGAGTGAGACTCCGTCTCAAAAAAAAAAAAAAAAAAAGATACCATTTCTACAAAACAACAACAAAACTTTTGTGTAGAAATGTTAAGATTGTAGAACAGAGAATCGCCTATAAGCGTCCTGGTTAGTCTTGCTATCAATTCGGGAATTGGGATTATTCTGTAGCGAAGCTGGATAGAGGCCTCTCAAAGAGCCTCACCTTTGGTCTTTTGAGGATTTCCTATACACAACTAATTATAACTGATGCACAAAGGTTGTAGCTAGTGGTCTGTTAGCTCAGCACTTTAGTTTTGACATTGTTATTGTTTTCATTTTAGGAAAATGTAATAACTTCCTTTTTAAATTAATAGACAATTTTTTTAAATTGTTGGCTTTTGTTTTGTTGTTGTTCTTACCAAGACAAACTTCTGAGATTATCTTTTTTTTTTTTTTTTTTTTGGAGACAGGGTCTCAGCTTTGTTGCTCAGGCTAGAGTACAGTGGCATGATCATGGCTCACTGCAGCCTCGACCTCCTGAGCTCAAATGATCCTTCCACCTCAGCCTCCCTAGTAGATGGGACTATAGGTGCTTGCCACAACACCCAGCTAAAGATTTAAAAATTATTTTTTGGTAGAGACAGGGTTTTGCCGTGTTGCCTAAGCTGGCCTTGAATTCCTGGGCTCAAGCGATCTGTCTGCCTCAGCCTCCCGAAATACTGGGATTACAGGCATAAGCCACTGCGCCCAGCCTGAAATAATCTTTAGGGCAGCAACATCTCTTCCATAGATAATTAGAAAATGAAAAGTTTTGTATGGCAAAACATGAATATAGGAAAGTCTAGAAAAGTGGTTTTCAATTTTTTTTGGTCTCAGTACCCCTTTTAGACTTAAAAAATTAGAAGACCTCAAAGGGCTTCTCTTTAAGTGGATTATATCTATTGATATTTGTAGTATTAGAATAAAGCTGAGAAATTAAAATATATTTAATTCATTAAAAAATAAAGCATTATACATGTGGCTTTTTTTTTTTTTTTTTTTTTTTGAGACAGGGTCTTGCTTTGTTGTTTAGGCTGGTCTTGAACTCCTGGTCTCAAGTGATCCTTCTGCCTCAGCATCCCTCTGTGCCACCATGCGTGGCAAACATATTTTAGCGTAACTTTTCTTTCTTTTTTTTTTTTTTGAGATGGAGTCTCCCTCTGTCACCCAGGCTGGAGTGTGGAGCGCAGTGGCACGATCTTGGCTCACTGCAAGCTCTGCCTCCCAGGTTCATGCCATTCTCCTGCCTCAGCCTCCCGAGTAGCTGGGACTACAGGCATGTGCCACCACGCCCGGCCAATTTTTTTTTGCATTTTTAGTAGAGACAGGGTTTCACCGTGTTAGCCAGGATGGTCTCGATCTCCTGACCTTGTGATCCGCCTGCCTCGGCCTCCCAAAGTGCTGGGATTACAGGCGTGAGCCACCGCGCCCGGCCTAGTGTAACTTTTCTAAATGAAAAAATAACTATATTTTCTAAAAGCGAAAAGAATTAGTGGGAAGAATGGCATTGACATCTTTACTATCCAGCTTCATAGAAGACTTTTTTGGGTTTGTTTTTTTGAGACAGGGTCTCACTCTTTGGCCCAGATTGGAGTGCAGTGGCGTGATCTCAGCTCACCGCAACCTCCATCTCCCAGGCTCACGCAATTCTCCTGCCTCGGCCTCCTGAGTAGCTAGGATTATAGGCGCCCACCACCACGCCCAGCTAATTTTTGTGTTTTTAGTAGAGATGGGGTTTTATCGTGTTAGCCAGGCTGGTCTTGGAACTCCTGACCTCAAATGATCCACCTCCCAAAGTGCTGGGATTACAGGTGTGAGCCACCATGCCTGGCCAATAGAAGACATTTAAATTCCCATGTCTGCTCCTGCATTGAGTCTATTGAG